GTGATTTGTTTCTTTTCTCTAACTGCTTGTAGGATTTTGTTCCTCTGTTGGGTTTCTGGGATCTTGACTATTATATGTCTAGGTGTAGATTTTTTTGATTGTGCCTAGTTGGAGTTCTATATCCCTCAATTATCTGTATGTCCAATTCTCTACCTCTGTCTGGGAAGTTTTCTACTATTACTTCTGTGAACAGTTCTTTTATGTCAATGATACTTTCTCCTGCTTTTTTGTGGTCTCCTATCAGTCTTATGTTATTCTTCTTTGCATCATCTAGCAGCTGCTGGATTGATTTCTCATAGTCCCTTACTATTTTGAAGAAATCTGTTTTCATGGTCATTAACCACAATCCTGTCTTCTATACCTGATATTCTATCTTCACATTCTCTTAATCTGCTGTGCATACTTTCAGTGGAGTTTTTAATATTCTGGATATCTGTTTGAATCTTTTTCATGGATTCCATTTCTTTCTTATGTGAGGTGATCATGGTTTCCATTTTTTTCTTATGCTGGGCATTCATGGCCTCCAGCATGTTTCTGAGCTCATCTATTTTCTTTTTATCTATTTCTGTTCTAGGGCCTCTAAGTCTTTCACTCTGCTCACCATCTCTGTAGTTATCTGGGAAATTATTTCTGTTTTGAATTTTTCTAGGGCCTCATTTATCCCTGTTTTGTTACTTCCTGTGCTACCAGTTCAGGGTGTCCAGGTGGTTGATTATCAGACTTTTCCACCTCGTTTCCCCCAGAATTTGCCTTTTGTGGGGTGGAAGTCTGAGTTTGTCCCTTGCTTGAATGTTTTCTCATTTTTGTTTTTGGTACTGTTCTTGGTTTAATTCCTGGGTTGATACTTTGAAATTGCTTATTGTATCTTCGTTGCTTGTATTTAGAACCCTTATGAAATGATTGCTTCTCAGAGGTGTCTTCCAGATATAGCTGGTCTTTAGGTTTTGAGTCTCTAATGCCTCTGAGGCTCTCTCATTTTCATTATACCAGGAAGGACAACTGATTAGATCAATCACAACACCTTAGCCCAAGTGATGCAATCAGCAACACCATAGTATCAAGTACATCTTAGAAAATGACAATTTGTGGTAGTTATTAATCTATCACCTTTAACTGTGTCAATTAAATTTTGTCCTCAAAATTGAGGACCAACCCAACATATGTTTATAGCGAATAAACTCTTCAATATAGCAATTTTATCCTTCGGGATGGGGAGTTAGAAGGAGTTGGGGAGGGAGAGATAGATAAGTAGAAGGATAGGGGAAGGTTAGCAGTGAGGCCAGAGGACACAAGCAAGAGAAGGAAAAAGAGAAGAAAAGAAAAGAAAGAAGAAGGGGCCAGGGGTTTAGTTCAGTGGTTTCACCACCTGCTGCACAAGCACAAGGACCCAAGTTCAATCCCCAGTACCAAAAAAAAAAAGAAAGAAAGAAAATAAAGAAGAAATCTGAATTAGGGCCAGAACAGGAACAAAAAGGTAGATGAAGAACAATGTGGGGCAGCAAGAGAGAAAGTGTGTGTGTGTGTGTGTGTGTGTGTGTGTGCATGTGTGTGTG